TAGCGTAGGGCGAGCATCTTGCTGACATCGTCCCCGTTGCCACCGCTGTTCTGCTTTTACAGGTGCTGTGGCAGCAGCTTTCCCGTGGTGACAGAGCCCGGCAGTCGGCAGGGGCAAGTAGAGCAGGTGAAGGCGTGGGAGCGAACACTCCATGGGAATGGGCTGCGGTCTTGCTCACATCACTGCAGCACACGATTTCCCTGTCTTTGCAGAATCTTTCAGCAACTTGAGGAGAGGAGCAGTCGGAGCGCTGACCTAAGCCGCAGTGGATGAGAGAAGGAGAGGCCGTTGTGTTCGTAAGTTCTTGCACATCGGGCACCGTTGAGCTGTCTCTCGGTAATGTCTTGCTTTCTGCTCTGTTCAGGTCACACCGGGGCTTTTCCTAGCGACGTCCAAGTCCTTCTGGTGCGCGGATTGTGTTGCATCTTGTGGGCTTGGTGAGCGTGCCCGGCAAGGGGCAGGGTGCCAGCGAGCAGAGCGTCCGTGGCGCTTTGGAGGTGGCTCTTTTGGCAGCAGAGGCCGTAGCTGACTGGCACAGAGGTGACTGCCTGCCATTTGTTTCGGCAGGTGCCATCAGCCGCTCAAAGAGAGTGCGGCTGCCTTTGAAGATGCGCTGTGAAGAGGGATGGAGACCTAGAGTACTGCACACGCTTAGCTGATGGCAAAGCGTTTTGGGGTGTCCTGACCGTGCATGCTGCCGTTGAGGGAGGTGTCTTCTGGATGAGCGCAGCGTGGGAGGCGGAGGCAGCACAGTGCACATGTTGGAAAATGAGAGCAGACAGCTCCCACCTGTCTGTGGTTTGTATTGCAGCTTTGCTTTCTTTTGCTCAGGTCCTAGCACTGCTCATTTGTGCTCCCTGAGCACATCCTGCACTGTGCAGCACTAGCGCAGGAGGCAYGTGCWGTCTTTTGTCAGGCCTCGATCACCAGCATCGGGCTGGCGGATGGCGGCTTGTTCTGTGCAGCCAGATGAAATAGGCTCTGTCGTTTGTGGCTGGACATCTTTCCAGCCCTCATCGTGGCCTCATCAGTCACTGTTGTTCCGGGGTTTTGCTCCACCACCGCTCCGGGYTCTTGTGCTTTCCTGGCCCCCTTTCACYGTTTTATTTCCTGTGCGGTCAAGGTCTTGGGCCTTGCTGGCTTCCTCTGCGTTCCTGTTCTGGACTTCACTGTCCCCTTTCTGTCACAGGCAGTGGTATTTGACTCTCTGTTCTTGTCCAGAGCATCAGAGCTGCACAAGTGTGCTATCGTAGAGCTTACTGGCTGGTGGTAGCTTGTGTGTGTCTGTCCTGGGGGAGGRATATAGTCAGGGTAGCAGAATAGAATAATTTAGCTCTGAAATATTTTGGAGGTGGGATTTCACTAAGTTTAAATCTAAGTTTATATACATATACACTATATATACATTCACACATTTTTTGTCTTTTTTTAATGTAGCCTATGATTAATTCTGGTTTGTATTTTCACACTGTTAAGGTGAAAGCTTGGTTTCTGAAGCCTTCAGAAGAAGCTGCCTGCTTCAGACCAGGCATGAGGGAGATGCAAGCACATCTGCATGCCCAGCCATAACGGTTTGTTTTCAGACTGTAATAGAAGTGATGCTGATTTAGTAAAATAAAAATAGATATGCTGGAAAGTAGAGCGGTCTCTTTGCTGAAGGAAGACATCCTTGCGGTGTCAATGCGCATGGGCCGAATGAAGACCGCTCTGCACGTGTGGTCAAGGGGCTGACTCCCCGCCTGCGTGCAAG